AAATAGAGAAAATTCGTGCGTGAAAAACGGCCATCGACGATGACGATTCGATCGGTGGTGATCGGCTCCTTAGTTTACCAATCGAGCTCAGCTTTTCTTTTTTCTTTTCTTTTTTTTTTCACGCTTACGATCGTGGATTCGCTGTGGATAAGGGGTGGTTAACACGTATGCGCCCCGTTTGTGGCTCGTACGGCCAGAAAGATCGATGCGCGATTACGGATGATATTTTCATGCACTCGTCGATAGAAGAGACCGTCGACACGGGGGTTAAAAACGTTTCCACGCGACGGCGTTGTAGTTATTTATCGTATTTTATGTATACATATCGTTATCGATTATTGAGTAGTCGAGTATTGTACTTAAAAGGGAAAGGCACCATTAAACAAAACCCCTCTATGAAAAGTCTGTTCTTGCAACAGCCTTCGGGCCTCAGAGACTAGTTCGTCATGACTATTTTCGAGCCACGCCGGCCCACGAGAATCAGTTTTTATACTCAGTCTTCGACGTCTTTCACAACCTACGATATAAATATTAATATAATATAATATAGGATATCTATAAATATGGATATAAATAGTTACTTAATACTGATCTCCTCCACCTGCGGAACAAGACTGGCGTTACGAAATTACAACCAACGGTACGCACCCGTGCATGGAACTGGACGAAATACCCTAGCTTCGTGACGCCATATTGCTGTCTAACGCGTCAGGGGTTTCCCATGGAATACAACGTTCTTCCAATTTTTTTAACGAAATGATTTCACCAAGATTGTAAAGCTTGTAAAGCTACTCCTTTTGAAACTTTGTACGATAGACAATAGAACTTGAATGTCCTAGATTCTGGATCTCGAGAAGACTGTGACTACATTCGGTGTACTACAAACTATAATTATTTTTCAGAAAGTTGACTCAAAACTAACCAACTTCAAAAGACTTTTATTCCTCCTCAGACGTCTCATGTTTAACCCTTGGTACCCTTGTCAAATTCCCAATTTGTCTTTTTTCAATTACCAACAAACTCTTTTTAATTTGATTAAACAGTCGATATCTCGAGTTAATAGAATTCCAAAGTAAACACAACGAATTATGAAGCCTCGACGACACTTACGCACTGTGGTCACCCTCTAATTAAAAGTCTTCGGCTAAAGTCTACCAACTCGAACAGCGTTTAATGAAATCGTTTAGTTAAAAAGTTGTAGCTGATTTATTTCACCCCGGAGAACCGTTCCGCGCGTTAGAACTCAGCGCTGGCAATTCTCGCGAATTTCCAGCCGGTTGGAAATCATCCTCGCTGAAGAAAAGCGCGTCACAAGAGGCGTTCGGCCGTCCGAAGTATCTCTGTTATGCAAATCTAATCAAAGGCAATATCTCGAGCTTTCTTGCCGACGAAATTCCGTGGCAGAAATGAACGTCTGTGCTCCGTGGGGGATGCGCAGGTAAAACTCAGTCCCATGCGTCGCGTACGGAAGAATGTCTGGGGATGATTCTCGGAGAAACCGTTTCCGTTCAGACGCGCAAACACTTGGAAACCGTACTTTGCTTGCTCAAGGGAGACAAAGAAGGATATATATTGGGCTCATGCATAAATTCGTGCCGATTTATTTTGGCTAGCGTTTTGCCCCGAAACGAATAATTCCTTGGTCTTGCGTTACTCTTTCTTTCTTTCTGCTATAATTTATCGCTGGGGAAGTTTCAGGTTGAAGATTGAGGATACGGATTAACAGATACGAATATTCAAGATTTAAATAATCATGGAATTCGTAGATATATTTGTGCCGTGTAAGTTGAATTGATTACCAAAAGGAATACTACAGAGAAAACAGAGAGTGGAGAACATTCCCAAGGCCCCGTTCTTTCCAAGGCAAAAGACTATAAAAAAAAAAATAGGCCAAATTTGTGCACAGATCCCCCATAGAAAAATACTTATTTTACAGATAGGCAACGCGGCAGGGAGGTAGTCCACGTGAACACACGATATATATATATATATATCAGACTCTCATATTTGTACTCGAAAATGACTCCGACTGTGAGATCTCTAAGCAAACGATTCTACGAAATGGACCTTAAAGTCTCCCCTCTGTCGAGGCGAGACGGGCCCGAACGACTTAATCGAGTAATACTCTTAAATTAATTAGAAACTAGACGACAATAAATAAGCTTAGATTTTCGTAATGGGGAATAATTTAAACGGAAAAAAAACGAAACACGATTAAAAGTAGTTTGCGAGCGAAAATTAGTTTGACGCTCGGTTAAAAGTAATGAAGTATGGCCGAGTTACACACAAAACATTCTCGACGAAGAAGTTGATTAATACTAATCGCACGTCCCCGAGATTTACACGGGGACGCGTGAGCAACGAATCCTGGACCGAGATAATCACGGGCTCAGCTTCCTCGTTTTTTCCACGTCCACGTATGCGTCCGCTCTCCCTCTCAGTGTTTCCACGTACGAATGGACCAATCGGTCGTTCGCGCGCGTACGGGAAATTCTAAGTGAGGTAAGCTGGTTCCGATTTTGCTAAAAAGTGCTTGTGCTCTAAGCGCATGAACGGCGATATCAACGATCCCTCTCGTATTCCGTGCTTCAACTTAATATGCCTTTTCAGATTGTCCGATCTCGTTAACGATATCATGCATATTTGGCACTGATACTTATCGGGGAAATGCGATTTCATGTGCTTTTTTATGTTGGCTACGCTCTTACCGCAGAGCTTACAACTCTCTGCACCGACAGAGTTCGACTGTTCTAACTTATTCTGACCGTCTTTACTTATATCCTTCTCTTTTTTGCAAGTCCCTGCTGTTCCTGGAATACAAGATCCCGTTTCAATAAGTTGGTTAAGGTCACTGCGACATACCGACAATCTCTACTAGATTCACGATAAGATATATAGTAAGAAACGTGTGAAAAACACCTCTCATAAAGTCACACTTCTACGTCAAGTCAAAGAATTGCAGAAGGGTATCCTCCCGCGAGGGGAACATCCCAAAAGTGCACCCCTGATTCCATCATCGAATTTTTTCTTGCCTGATGCACCCCCTGCGAGACTATAAGGCGACTCCTTGTTATTTAATCAAAGAATTTGTATATGTAAATAATCTTCTGCTAAGTTGTGTACTCTTTCTGAATAAAAACGACAGTTAACCCTTCGCAGTCCAGATTTTCTGATTTCAGTACAGTTCTGTCGAGTCTCGCTCGACATAGGACAACAAAGGGTTAAGTGTAAAAGTATCGACGCAAACGGTAAAATTTGTACAATTTTTCATTAAAGAAACGAGGAGTCAAAAATTCGATCTCGAAACTGTGGGGGAACACTCGCAACGTTCCCATCGCCGACGAAATCACGTTCTCCAATGGAAAGTCACGAAGGCATAGACTGAGAAACACCACACTCGTAATAATATCTATGTGTCTATACAGTATACAATATAGTATCTCTATAGATGCCTACTCGTAGCAAAGATAATCATATCAAATCACGTAAAGGAAAAAAATAAAATAAAAATTGAAAAGCGCACACCTACTGGTCTTATCATTGTCAAAGAGTTACAATAAACGCAAAGCTAGCACAACACGTCGTCACACAACTGAAACAGAATAAATTGAAGGAAATACGTGAATAAAATAAAATATGAAAGGTTTTGGGGAGAGGGTTTTCGGCGAATGAAATAAAAACACGAAAGAAACTGTTCGTTAAAGGATCAACGCAAGCGGAAGAGAACCCTGGGCGAAGAGAACTGCTGACGGTGGATACTCTCCAGATGAGAACGCTCTCGTGCTCGGAGTGAACAAACGATATTCGAGTTTATCAACAAATTCTGCCCACTGTACTTCGTCTCGACTTGCTTCGCGGAGTTACGCGCGAAGGATACGTCGAGGTCTGCGCAGCGACTTCGCTGGAATCAGACTTTACGTTCTTCGTCGCCGACGGGCGACAAGTTAACGGATCGTGAACGATGACGACGACGTCGATTTTCTGCGAGATCAAGCGCCAAACAAGCTCGAGAAGGTAAATGGACCGTCGCACGCGTTAGCAACAAAATCCTTGTTCAGCCGGGACCGTGACGTCAGAGTTGGGCAACGATTACTTCGCGATCACTTCTGTCCATCGCCAGATTGATCGGTAATCGTTAAGCTGCACGACTGTGCCTCGGAGGCAAATGCTGAACTTCAAGTTTTGGAAATTTCAGACGCGAGCCATTTAGCTGTTGCATACAAAATTGCACGGATGTGCAAGCTAAATCTTCAAGAGGTCTTGGAAAGGGTTGTACCAAATTTAAGTAACTATAATACGTGACTAATGAGCCAAGAAGAAAGGAAAAGCTGAAGAGTAAAAGTCGATTATAAATTTGCCAAAGTGGAGAATAGAATTACTCTTTCATCTATAATTGTTACTCAAATATATAGATCACTGTATTTCACAACCTCGTTGAAAGGTTGAACACGTGTTTATACTACTATATTCTTTCCTGCAACTTGAAACATTTCCAAAATGTTCACTCAGCACAGATCGCCCCCGCGGTCTAGGCGTGCAGTCTGCAATCATAAATCGTGGAATTGTAATCTTCCAGAGCGAATCGTGTCCGATTTATTCGTGAACGATGAATCATGATTATCGATTACTCGGTAATCGTAACCATGGATTACGTTTTGCCCAACGCTTCTCGACGGTGGACTCGAGACGCTCTCGACCAAAGTCAAAAACGATCTCGCGTTACGCAATCGACTCTTTTTCCTACCGAATTGACGTTGCTCTGGGGCCGATTCCGTCGATCGCTTTACGTAACGCGCGGACACGTTGCATTTTGTTGCTAACGTATCTTCGTTTACTCGTACGATTGCGGTTTAAAATAAACAACGCATGAGAGACGCGTGAGAATGTAAGATTAAGATCGCTACGGTGATGTGAGACGTGGCGATAGGTATTTGTAATAGGACAGAGAAAACAGTGTGTAAAGGCATGCATAGAGAATCACGCCGTAGTGATGTATGTGTGTGTGTATATGGCCGTGTGTATATATATATATATATAAATGTTTATATACATACATACACGCGCATACGGTGGCGGCCAGCTGCTTAAGACCGTGCCATACTTTATGAAACAACCGTGACTGACGTTTCACAAATTTAATATCTCGCGTGTTAGACTCATCAGTGACACGCGCCGAGAATTATGCAACGCGACTTAACAGTATTTTTCACTTATGAATTACAAATACTTTCAACAGTTCGTTACGTCGTAACGGTGGCTAATTACGTGAGAGTTATTCGCCGGTGCGAAACATTTTTTACGACATTCCATATAAAATAAATGTATCGAGAAATAAGGAGAATTAATTTTTGATCATTGTTGGTCCCTAACTTCTGTGAAGTGGATTCTTGGTTCCTGTTTCATACCTGAAGCCATGGATCTAGCGATACAAGGGAAAACTTTGAATTTTAACCCTCCATTTAACCCTTTGTTTAAAAAATGAAATTGTTTCTTAAATCCTGTGAAATTTCTTCGGTGAACTAAATAGAAATTGTATTTATACTGTGTCCCCAAAGCGTCCCTTATAATAAACTACTTCTTAGACTCTTCCAAGACACGATTTCCTATAAAAACCCTATCGGAGTGTCGTCCAGCGGACCTTAAACGAAACACCGTAACACTCTCGCTCCGAAAACGAATCACATTAATTTCTGCCCGACTTGAACACTTCTCCACCGTCACGACGACAAGATACAATTGTTCAAATTACTTGCAATTTATAAACAGAAAGCATACACGATTCCCAGCGAATATAGACTCGCGAGTCTGACATACAAAAAATCAAATTGCTAAGAATTAAATCACGTTTATTTTTTGAATAATGTAACAGCCCCAACTAGCCAGCCACCGCTGTATGCATACACGTATATACGGTTCGTTTACAAATTATATTTATGGTCATATGCCGGCACACGTATGTACACATGTTCCCAGGGACAGGCAGCGGCATTCACGCGCGCACGCACACACCGACACGTCGCACTGAGAATTTATTCCGTTAATCCTTGCCACGCATACGACCGGATCCACCGATGTGTATGTATATGTATAAGGTAGCATAAAACAAAAACCAAAAAAAGAAGAAACGCCAACACACACGGGACCACGTACGCAATCAACGACCACACACCATCTCAAAGAAAATTCACAGACAAACAGGAGTACTGTCCATTTGCTTGATACCAAACGAAAAGTACTATCCACTTTGCCGATACCACTTGGCCCAAAACCAACGTTCCTTTTTCTTTTTTAAATATCTCTTTCCTTCTTTTTTTTCTCAATGTTAGATACTCCTATTAACACACTTACGGACTCGTAACTACCACAGTGACATAGCAAATGCACGATACCATCACCACAACACCAAGGATATATATCTATATATACATATGCATATATACACGTATATACATATATATATGTATATATATACGATCGTGTCGTATACCCGTACGTATACATACGCGTATACTTCGTACACGCGAATATATACGTACACGTACACAGGATACATCCATCAACAAGAAAATTGTTCGTGTTCTAAAGAGTTACCACTCACTACGCTTGCCAGACTCGGAAATAGAGGGATGCTCGCTTCGTACGCCTATGTACGACTCGACGCGCAAAAATTCTTGCAAACGTGCATGCACATCTCCCTCGATTTCTTAGACGCCACGTGGTTCCCGTGCACCGCGAATTTACCGAAAACAAACGCGTCGGTGGCCGCGACTGCCGCGAGGCCGCCGAACGAAACAGATGGCGAAGCGAGGAGGCATGTGTTTAACTTGTTGCATCCCGCGCGCGTTAGGAACGCTCGAGAGCGTCGACGGGCAAACGGGAATCACGTGCAATCTAAATGGAATTTTGATTGTAATGATAGATGTTTGTTGGTCTTACCATCAAGTCCGTCGAGCATTTCTGGGGGATTATGGTGTTCGGACGATTCAATCCCTGACACGCCATCGCTAAGCGCGCCTGCCGTGGCACCCCCATCGTCTCCTAGCAACCCAACTGGATGTCCCTGCACACCACACGAGCGAAATTGTGAATAACAATGCGATAAATAACGCTTTAATCCAGAGATGGACGGGAGTATTATCTGAACTCCAATTTCGAGTAATTAATATAAGGTAAATAACTTTTTAACAGAGTTTAACTCGCTTTGCAACTCTTACGGTACAGTATTGTCTTCTGCTATCCATAGAGCAAGAATTTGTAAAATTTTACAGGCCCATCTCTGATTTCACTTAATCGTTACATTTCCTTCTTGATTACTGTCGCGTCTTTATTTTGTGTTAGCTGGTTAGTTATGTGCTCGCAATGATGCGTTAATTGAACGGGAAGCATCCCCTACTTCACATATATATAGAAAAATTAATAATATAATTTTATTACAGGAGAAAAATTTCCTTTATCGAGGGGAAGGGCTGAAGTTTGAGAAACACTGACATAACGTATTAAAATTAATTGGAATGTATCGAAACATTATTTATTAAACTTCAATCAGAAAGTAATTTATCGATTCCCAAACGTTATTCCATTTTCTCCTTGTTTTTCGAAACGTATACCATTAAAAAAAAAAAAAAAAACTATGACGCTCGTGAATTAAATTTATATTGCTTGAAAACATTTTGAGGTACACAAATTTTATACAGATAATAAAATAAAATTCGTAACACGCGATTAAGGTAACTCGCTCAATGTTCATATAGGTATATTATAAAACAGAATCGATATGTATCGTAATAAAAATATTAAACTTTTGACATCACCTCAAAAATGCACATGCTTTGGCATTCCATATCTTTCTACAAATGTTCAAGAAGATATAGATATAAATTTCAACAGATTTAATTGCTTATACACATAAACCATGTATATAAAATAATATGTCCACGCAATTAATTTGATAAATAACTTCGTCACATATTGACTCAACATTAAAAATAAACATCTTTAAATATCTTTGTTAATATAGCATTTCATACCCTTTATATTCGTAATTTTTGTTTACGCGTCATACGTGTAAAACTTTGATAAGTACACATACTCTTTAAAAAAATGTACTGATTAAACATGCTGTTCCTAATTGGAAGAATTGAATTGCATATGCTTTGTATGCTCCTACGAACTGTCAAATTTATGTATTATACCAATAGAAAAACAAAACAAAGTATGATATAAGAAGAAAAACAAAACCAAACAGAGCTGCCAAACTAGCGTGGCACAAGCATACTCTTATCAAGATACAGTAAATAAACATACATACTTTATAAAAATGTGGATGACTGGAAAATTACGTACACAATCTTCCGTAATTACGAACATACACATGCATACCTGACCTTATAATAATTGAGTGTAAAAAATATTTATATATTCTTCTCTGCATTGAATATAATTTCTTAGTAAACAAAATCTCGTTAAAACTTTCAGTGAAGTTGATATCAAACCGCGATTTGAATGCAATATTAATTAAAAATTAGTAAGTTTCCGTGATGTAAGTATAGGACTGTTTTTATTCGCTTTCTTTAGCGACACACAAATTGTGCGCCTTACATTTATCATGGTGATTCACAATTTCGAGTCTAAAGTTACCGTTCCCTGCAGCAAACGAAGTACGTATTTCAGGTATAGAATCACTCCACTTCCGACAATATTTACAGAACATAAGGTTCGATCTCTCGTCAAACTGAAGCCAAGAGTACATGTCTAACCAACTGACTCTGAATCTACCAGTCTTTCTACCTTGAGGAACAGAACGTTGCGAAACATTGCACAAAGTTGACTGTATTATTGACATTCCCTGTTGTTGATTCACTATTTTTGACCCATGCATATTATCATCGATTTGGGAACTTTTAATATTCGTGCTCTCAGACTGGGATTTGAGTTGTGGTTTCAATACAGCATTGTTTTTATACGAATATGAATTCAAAGGTATGGATTGATTTTGTGAACATTCGAGAGAATTCCCATAATATTCAGGTGTAGTCTCCGATACATTGACAGACAGAGAACCTCCAGCCATTATATTGTATTCACGAGAAACTTGTATCACAGCGGAATCTGGTTGATTTTGGATCATATTCTGTACATCCATAGTTTCGTCACTCTTCCCATCTCTTTGAATCTCCCACTCCACACTAGTCTGTCAACAGAGAAGGAAAGGATATGTGTTTAATCAACACATCTTCAATTTTGCCTTTTAGCATAAAAGAAGACAATCTTGTTATCTCTATTTAGTCATCCCTTCCTTCCCATGTCTGTTTAGACTGAGCAGTAAAATATCATTATTATGGGAACAGTAACGAAACTATGTTCTGGCATGTTATGCTCAATATATGGCATGATTTGATGAATAGCTCGAAAGCTACGCATCAAGAAATAATTTTCTTCGCTAAGATTGACTACAAAATACTACAGGAAGAGGAAATAAAATAACATGCTGAAATAAAAATAATAAATAATGGTTTTGATAAGAAGAAAAATACGTGAACACTGAATTGTGCTTTACACGCTCTTATGTACTAAACTAAAAAAACCGTGCAACAAGTACATATTGTACTAAATTTTATACAATTATATGTTACACAAGGAAATGGTAGTTTTAATATGACAATTTAAAAACATATTAGAAATATTAAAAAAAAAAAACTATATTAATGAGTTCAGAAAAAAAATCAAAATATGATAACTAACGACAGGCATATTCACGATACAAACATACAACTAGATAATACTTTACACTGTACATTAGTTACAAACTACAAATTATACTATCAGCATGCACAACGAAACTGTACTCTAACTACAATAAAAGGAAAATCTTTTGAAAAATCACTTACTGGGAGGGAGATGTTGTCATGAAAGTCTGGTAAGTGATGATCTAACTCTTGCTTGATAGAAGGTTGCGGCTGTGATGCAGGGGACATGGGTCGACCACCATCTTCCATTTCACCTCCCAAGGCATTATTTAACTTTGGAATCACAGGAGGGCTCGATTTGTAACTACATTGTGAAGATGCCTGTAACCAATAAATCAAAAGGATATGCACTTTAAAAGTACCAAAACCATTTGTGTTTGTGGTCTATAGAAATATCTCAAATGAAACACGAAATTTCAATCTTATTTATATAAATTTATAAATAGTAAAATTTGTAATTGACACTTTTGAAAACATTCTAAAATACACGTACAAAATTTTGAGGTTCTAACGTATTTGGTAAACGTGACAAATCTGAACATTGCTTTGGAAAATTCAACGATTATAATTTCCAAATAGTATTGACGATTAATATACGAAAAGAATCTTGTTATCTTTTAATAAATTGTGTAAGGCACTTCAACGTTTACGGAATAAAGTACGCGATACAAGCTTCGATATTGTAATACGTGATTGGCGTATTAGAACGCAGATTAACATTTGCTTTGTACCTCAAGGTTACTCGAAGCGATATTTGGAAAGCTGTACAGTCATATATATATGTAGCTTATTGATAACAAAGTAAGATCACTATCACCGAATTTTAAGCGTTCCAAGCAAATAACAAAAGTTCGCGCATGCATACATGTGACGTGTTTGCACGCACGCATGCACGAACGCACGCGCGCGCAAGCACGCGGGAGCATATGTTTTGAAAATATTTATCGGAAAATAGGAAAATTATTTCAATCTAGCGGTGCAGTTAATACATTTCTACACGATACAAGGTGTACGTAATTTTCAATGCATTCTACGCGATCTGTAAAGAATTCATCATGTTTAGATCTATAAAACAGGTTTTTAGAATTTCAGTGTATAGTTAATGATACTTGAAGATACGAACTATGCTTTAGCATGAATTATTCTGCAGTATTCATGTTTAAACAAAAAATGTAGGTGATCTTGCAAATTGTATGTTACTATGAGAATCATAGTTATATTTAGAAATACAGAAAATTAAGATCTCTACTGGAAAATTGTGTTGGCCAAAAAGGTGGCAAAAGAGTATTTAGAAGCGGCAAGAAAATTATAAAGCAAAAATACAGAACATGCAATTTAGTTATAACATATATATGAAACTAACAGTATGTACAAATAGGAAATTGGAGTATATATTGATGGTATTTAGTGTAACGTACCTGAGAATCAGACATGAACCGTTCACTGGGTGGACCACTAAGGGAAACATCGTAGCTGCCCGAAGCCTTTCTTTTCCTCTTCTCGGGAAGAGGCTGAAGGTTAGGCGAATCGGTATGCCTAACACCAATTTGTGTTTCTGGTTCTGGCGATGGACTTTTCTCTTCTGTCTTGTGATTTACACTATTATCTGTGAGGCCTCTAATCTGTAATGCCTCTGCGGTTTTAAGGAACATCGGTAGTAGATGCTGACTAACGTTAACTTCTCCCTTATACATAAAGTGCAGCAATGCCTTCATTTCCGTGTCATTGACATCCTTCAGGAATATAATTGGATGGGGATGGGTATTCTGGAGGAAAATGCTCTCAAAATACGGACTGCATGCAGAGAGTATCGTCTGGTGTGCCTTGAAAGTCTCCCCAACACAAGCCAGGGTAACGTCGCAGAGTGCTTCTCTGGCAAGTAAGGAGCTGAGAACGTCTGTGAGGTTGGCTGGATGATTGTTCCACCGTAGACAATACTGTTGGTCCATCTTGTCTATCTCCAATCCCGACCCTACAACCAAACTAGCTGCCCTGAACTGTCCACACTAGAGACTTTGGATCACCCTGACTACAGAATGACTCCCTAACCCTTAAAACGTTAACTCACACGCCTTCTCCACGCACACTCTTCTATATCGACTTGACGATATCTCCTCAGAGATAATATCGCAACTCTAGACCCACACAACTTCCTCCGTGCTTCTGCAAATGTGCCACATTGCAGTATAACTGTAAAACCCTTCAGGGTTCACGCGTCGCTACTATGCGTGCCGAAAACATTTTTTTTCGCATAACCTCGGCGAACCAACAAATTACTCCGTTTGGAATTTCACGTGAACGGGTATTGCGAAAATAAAAAGAAGGTTAGAATATTAATTGCGGCGCAGTACGTGTCACCCACGGATATGATAATACCCAATATTCGAAGATAATGTTTTCAGCAATGTCAATATTCGCGAGGCTTGGGCGCCATTGTCGGTCGTGCTCGTCTAGCCACGAGCCTTCTCGCGAAAACTCGATTTGTTGATGCTCGATTTCTAACCATTCAAACACGCTCCACACGCGGCTTTATTTACCTAAACCCAGCGCCAGCTAACTAACGCACCGTACACACTAACGACCGAAGTTTGTTTATCGTTTCGACGATTACTCACCTTTCGCAAACTTTTTGCCATTACAACGCCACCCGACCCTTAACGTCCACTGCCATACCAATCTGCCAATGCCTACGGCCTTATTTTTAAAATACTTTTGACCTTCGTGCATCTGCCGTGGGGAATGGCGCGAAGGGCGCTCGAATTCAAACGTGACTAACCACGCGGCAGAATTTCTACCAGCGTTTTTCTTTTAACTAACCATTTTCTTCTTTGAAAATTTATGCGATTCAATGTGAACGTTATCATAGATGTACGTGTGATAATTAACGCGGCAATGGACTGGAAACAACCATCGTTTTTAACGCTTATATGCCTCTGAAGACAAAAAATATCAGAGATGGGCAGAATTTATTCGTAAAATAAAACTTCTGGTCGTTAAACGTGAAACATAATTCGATTGTATAATTAAAATTGGATTTTTAATAGAGCAAGCAAACATCAATCTTTTATTTGTTACTCAAAGTTTTAATCTAAATAGGAATTTCGCCAATCTCTGAAAAACATAACCCGCTTAATGTATTTGCTCCTTTTGTTTCGAATAGAATTTTTTAATATAGACTAGGATAAATCGTATAAGATGATACGATTTATTATTCAAATATTATAAAAGAAATTCTACTGTAAATCCGAGATACATAACCCATAAAAATTATAATTAAGACATCTCTTATAAGTGAAAGTTCTATATTAAAATCTATATTCAAATAGATAAATAGATGTTAAATTTAATTAGCTTTTACACGAACGTCAAGATAAACTGTGTTTATCGCATTAACTGTCTGTACCGCGATAATTTCATAGAAATTGTACTCTCGGTAAATGTAAATACTTTTCTCGCTGATAGTGTCCCTATGATGTGCTACCGGAAGTGTAAATAAATACATCGTGCTCATCAGTGCTAAAGTCCAACGTGGAATTCGAAATATTTCCACGATGAGCTCAACGAACAAATATATCGTATACGAAAAGCCGTCACACTTCTGAGAATTGCCAAATAAAGACAATCCTTATCTAGAAAACAGTCTGCGGATAAGACGCGGGGCGGTATGATACTTTTGAAATAAGTTACGCGAAATTTTCAACCCTTCGAGTTGAGGAGTTTTATATTGATGTATCTGTACTCTGTTCTGTAATGCACGGAGTCTCATCTAAAATTCATAGATCCATCAACAAACTGTTTCAAACTTCCAAATCCGTTATATCTTGCGGCAGCGGTCCTCAAACTTCAACATCCCCCCCTTGGCAGTAAATTAAATTATTATGAGAAGAAAAATACGATTAAATGTGTTTAAAAAGAAAGAAATGTTATTACTCCGTTTTCAAGTGAGCAAACTAAAAATCCACTTTAGTTTGTTACTTTCGATTACTCTAAACGGAAGCAAGACGAATAATGGTAAACAAAATATTAGTGTTTCTCAAATTTAGGTTTCGTAGTTTCTACTTTCCTTACCAATGGTTTTCCTACTAAAGGAGGGACAGTCTTCAATTCCACCGTAATATTTATATTTTCGACTGGCTTGGGAGCTCGAGACAGTTTGAGAAACACTGTCACGGTGTTAGGAAAACCGGGAGAGAAGTACCTAACCGAAAAATCGCTTGCACGCTTTTTGCATCGTGCTGGCTTTAACGATTCGCAAACGCTCGCGTTTCTTTTTTCCTTCTGGGGGAACTGTACGTACACGAGGCACGCGCGCTACACGTTATACGAGAGGGGATTACGTTTCCCGGAAAATCATCGAGTGCAAAAGGGGTCGTTCGGCTTCATTTAACTGCAATAATCGTTAATTCACGCAAATCGCGAGCCTTCTGATATTAATTTCGACCGTCCGCGAGCCGAACGATAATCGTGTTAACCGTACGAAATCAATAGGTAGCGGGAAAATTGGAAAATCTCCTTAATCGGTTTTCGAATATGGATTTACAAGCTTTGCCCGACCATTAACAGATTTAATCCGCGCTTTGATTGGCACTGCGCAAAATTACAATTCGCGTGCTTGTCCACGTTGAAGATACCACGTGGGGCGGGGGAGGAAGGGTTGGAACGGCGGGAGGGAAGGGGGAGGGCGTGTTGGTAAACAGGAATTCGGTGAATTAAGCGGATAACGCAATGAGCATTATTGGATTTATCTCGAGCGCGTCTCCGAGGATTTAAAACGCAAGCGCGAGACGCGACGACGACGGGAATAGTGTCAGAACGGCAGTTTTAATGCCGTGGTAAGTGGAAACGTTCGAAACGATACTTTCGTTAAGAAACCTTTTACCTTTTGCTCGCGTTTCACCGTTGGCAACGACGTGACTCATGACGGATGTCGTCACTGACGGAAACGTACTCGACGGAGACGCGATTTGCTTTAAAAAGGAAAATAAAGTTGAAAGTGACTCATTTTCGATATACGAATACCGTGGTACTTTGCACGCTATCGTTTTCTGTATGATGTTGAATCAGGTTTGGCTGATTTACTCTCTTTCAACGAGTTTCAGCACCCACTTCGAATGATGGAAACGTTGAAGATAATTATTATGTTAATGGTCCTCTTCAGGGATTCCAGATTATTCCATTATAGCGTTTAGGAAGAAAAAAATCACAACTGGGTGCGTCTAGTTTTTAAAGTATTAATATATAATATATAATTTGCATGTATCTTTATCCTTCTATACCCATTGTTTAAAAATTGACCGATCAAACGGGTAAGCAAATATTAAATGGCCCTACATCGTTTAGTTTTAAGCTGAAAGCTTTATTCCTAATAGTTTAAACTTCTTTAAGGTTCTCGGCATGCATGATAAGCGCTTTAACGCCCTAAAAAGAATTAAATCGTTAAGCTCATATTACGTTCATATATAAACCAGTAACGTACAAAGTACCGTGGTGTCCGGGGATTAATGCGAGTTACTATACACGAGGAGTTACAGTGAACTCGAAATACCCTCCGTGAGAAATTTAGATCCCCAGGTCAAATCTGTTCGTGTTCCGTCGCGCGTAACTCTATTCTGGAAAAATTTGTCGCCGTGATGTGTTTTTTCCATCCACGCGTTCGCGGCGAAATTAGCCGATTGTAGAGAGCAACACTCCGAGAAGAATAAATCGCAAGTGCTGCGATATAAGATCGGATTTACGTGTTCCTAGAACGATTAATTGTCAAACGAACACAGTTGCCTAACTACCAGCACGTTTATACGAGGTCTCCTAGCACCTCGATTCGGTCGCATCGAAGATGGACCTGTCGCCGTTAAAAAGACGTAAAAAAAAAGAAGAAGAACTCGTAGTCCTGACATTAGCAACACCATTCTGCGATCAAATAAATGGTTTGCGCAATCAATTATGCGAACCGGTTCCTTGAACGAGTTCCCTTCGCTGTCCGCGAAAACTTTGCTATAGAGCTGGGACTATTCGAATCTTTTATAGGTATTCGAATACCAGGAACCAACTTTAGACATATTTAAGTATCGTTACTTGAATAATATTTGAATACCGTCACTCAAAAGTTACCACTCGAACATCATTGATCGAATATTATTATTCAAATGAGAAACTACTCGTGGGATGCACTATCTAAATAATACAAACGACGACGTAATTCAGTATTTCATTCTATCATCGATCGATTATCAGGCGATACATACGAATGAAACTTTGTTCTGTGAATGAAATCGATGATACTCAGAAGGTGATCAATAATCTGCATACTAATAAACATATAAATACAGTTGCGTACAAATGCAACTGGTTCGCGTTGTGTGTTAGTGTGTGGCTGACCGATCCTGCGTACAACCGAAAAATGTAAACAAGTTCATTTTCACTAACAACTATACTTCTTTTTTCTCTTTATAAGTTGACTCAAAAGTAATCGAATACTGCGAACCAAAGTTCTCCAAACAGTCCCAGCCTTGGATCGCGTTTCTTGATCAATTTTCGCGAGCAGCGGTCTCTTACGTAGTGCGTGCGCACTAGCACAACGATTTCGTCCAGACGAAAGTCAAATGCGATTATTCAAGTACGAGAGATCAAAGATCAACGGCTAAGGACAAACACAGAGGAAAAGAATAAGCTTATCTTTGGCAAGGAACGGACCTGTAGATCCTCCACGCAGCTGGGTTACCGGCGAGCATCACCGTTATCTGCATAATTATCTCGCGGTGGCCTTGACTGTTCCACGAGGAAAACACGTCGGGGAGCTGGCATTCGCGACGTATCGTGACTTCGATACGTTCGCTAGCGCTAGCGCGGCGAGAAGTCGCGCGACGAAAAATCGTTTTTCTCCGTCTTCCGTGCGGCTGGGAGATCTTCAGGGACGATCTTCGCGCGATGCACGCCGGAAGTGCAGCGGTTTGGCTCGCGAGCCCGCCACTGCGC